CAGGCAGTTGTGCCAGGAGATGTCGGCTGGGACGTGGCGGCCGTAGTTGTAGCCGAAGGGGATGTCTTTCCATATTGAGACGGGTTCGAGTGGGTAGGTGTGCTTTTGGGGTGGGAGGAGGGGGACATGGAACGAGGATTCTTGGGGGATCAGGTGCAGCAATTGGCCTGTCTGGTAGAGAAGACGTGTGGGCAGTGTGCCACGCGGTATATTTGGGTAGTTGATTACGAGGACGCCGGCGAGATTAGGATCGCTGATATTATTCATCCGGGCATATTGGGGATCCGGGACCCATATTTCAGGGCGGACGTGGACCAGTCTCTCGTACCCGGGTTTTCGAAGGGTGCGGAAAGTCCAGCGTGGCTTTTTCTTTTCTGAATCCGGAGTCCCCGTTGGGAAGAGGGTGGGAACAGTATATTCTGCGAAACAGAATTGACGGTCCCAGGTCAAGCCGGTGGAGGAGATGTCAGCGGTGTCAAGCTCCACCGGGGCGCAGGATTTGACTGGGTAGACGAAGAGAGCTTTGATTTGCCACGGTTCGGTGGATGTGCCGTCTAAGGGGTGAGGGTTGGATTTGGTGTACTTTGGATGGTACTCGTCTGAGAGATTGCTGGAGCCATGGAGACCCAGCTTCATGCAGCCTCGAAGGGCGGTTCGTAATTGTTTCTGATGTTTACCTCTGGTCCATAGCAGTAGAAAGATGGGAAGAAGACAAAATGGATATGCTAGGAGCAGAGCATGATCCAATAAATTCTCCAACCGAGGAATTAGACCCATAGCAGCGAGTTTGTGGTGGTACACAGCATGGAAAAAGCATCAAACCTTACACTCAAAATGCCTTTCCTGTTCCCAAGTGAAGCGAACGTGTCAGCAACGGGGAGAACAGAAGAGGAGAGTAGGGAAGGGCTCGAAGGAGAGAGGGGTGTTCGTTGGTAGGCATTATTAAGCAATAGGGAATAAAGAACTCTGTGATGCAGCGTCTGCAGATCCAAGATCCCTGGCAAGGAGCTTCTAGAAGGGCTAGAGGAGCTAGAAGGGCTAGAAGGGCTAAAAGCTCTAGTTCGCATGAGACTTCACCCTCTATGGCTAGCTTGTGAGTCAGCGCCTCGTAAAAGTGTAATAAAAGTGTAATACGTACTACCAGTATTCCTTGCTACTCCCTATTCCATCCTTCATTCTCCCCTCGAGGTGTTCACCAATGGGGCAACTCCTTCCATGCCTTGACAGGAGAGACCTTGGTGTGTTGCGGTGTCACTGCCTCGCCACTCGACTCATTTCTTTCTTCTTTCTTACTGAGAACCTCGGTCATATGCATGGTGATGTTCAAGCTCCTTCGCTCCCGGAGGTGCCGGACTTCAACTTCATGGGAGGCACTTTGGCCTTTGTCAGAACTTGGTCACCATAAACACTTATAAGCATACCAATATCTATACAGTGGCACAATGATTCCACTGCAGTATAAATATAGTTCCCTCTCGTTTATCAACCGCTGTCTTGCGTAACACATCAAAGTTATCCATATTTTCCTCCAGCTGTCGCTTGTGGTCAGTCATCCTGAGAGTATTCAGAAGATGTGTCCGTGTTTTCAGTATAAGATTAAGCAACGTGCTGCGCCATCCTCCTTGTCTTCCAGCAGTATATTCTCGTGCGGCCTTCGGTTTTCCTTATTTTTCTTATTGCAGCGCTGGAACACTTAGGCTCCCAGGTGATCTGATTATCTACCTGCACCTATTTGCAAGTCTTGCATGGCCTGTTATCTTGTCGGCAGTTTCCCTTTGCGCACTTCTGCTTCTCCCGAGGACCTTGACAAAATCAACAACCCATACCTCGCTCCCGGATCCCTACCCGGAGACTTTGTCAGCCTTGCCAGTTCCAACATCTGTCGAATACATTGACTACTACGACCTGCTCCGCGCCCCGACAACAGCAGCCATGACCGAAATAACCATGGCCTCTCGTGGTGCTGCGCTTCTTCACCATCCAGACAAGGTTGCTCTGGAAGATGAAGCCGAAGCCAGTACAGCTTGCATCCCTTATCGCGACGCTAAAAAGTCCTTGTAGACCTCACACCACGCAAGCATTGCGACAGCATCTGGGTACACCAAGCCAGTACATCGAGCAAAGAGTAGTTGATGATGATGATTTCAATTCAAGAAAGGCAATAGCAGGAGAAGAAGAATGCGAAGAGGATGAAGCGAAGGAAGATCAAGAAATGGGGTACTGTGCCTCCTTCCTGGGGTGGGAAAGACAGTTGGGAGGGCGTTGGCGAAGTACGTAACAAGTAACGGCCGGACGAAAGTACAGAAATACAGGTGGACAGACATGGACCCTCATTAGTGGGGGGTCACATTTCCAAGCCAAAGGATAGAAAAGATGCTGTGGTACGAACGGAGTACGCAACAAGAATGATGTCAACCAGCCAAATAGCGACACAGAGAGATGAACATGGAACGCAGGGCTACCAGCAGCCTTTTGTTGGAGACGAGGCAGCCACAGACACAAACACAGACATTGCCGCATGCTCCAAACGAGACGTATCGTTCGATGCTGCGTAAACCTGAGAACCAACACGGTTTGGCTGAATGGGGACAGGCTATATTCTTCATTCAGCCATCTACCACATTGTGCCGGGATGGCATAATCTCCCTTCCGTCCAACACAGCATGACTATATTGGGACACCACACGTCTCCTCGCTTAGGCAACATTCGTCAACAAGCGACTACAGCTCATGCAAATTGAGTGCTATTATTTCCATTGCGTTGTGGCAATCAATCTTTTAATTCAGACCATTGTTTCGTAACGAGCTATGATAGATCACAAGGAACATATACAACGTATACGTATACAGTGGACAGGTCAGGCCTGGGAATCATCTGTACTTAATTACGCTGGTGGGTAGAACATAGAATACGTAGGTACTGGTGGCAATCGTCGTCCACCACCACTTTCTTTGCTCTGCTTCTGGAAACTCAGACAAGCCATAAACCCAACGCCCTAAGCTGGTCTGCTAAGAACATCTCAGAGAGGGATCCGAGTGATTTTTACTATCGATATCGATATCGATATCTAGATTTGTACTTTGTCCAATCCTACGAGGATTGACCCCCTGTGTAATCGCGTCAGTTCCCAATTTTTCAACCATCATTCCTCTCCTCTACTGCTCCACTTGTACGGAGTGCTCAAGACATCTTGCACAATTCAAGACATCTCGCACAATTTCAAGCATGCTTTTTCCTCCAGCATCATCATATCCAATTTCCAGTCAACCTCATACTGCCGGCTAAGTCAACTTACTACATATCCTGTTGCTTCGCCTTCTTCTCCCAGCCATGGAAGAAGCAGACATTTCCAATTTCTCCACATCTTCCTCCCGTTCGTCCTCATCTACAGCTCTCCCCCTCTATCCTCATAGGCCTGAACTTGTGCAGACCGCCTCCCCACTATATCGGCCTCGCAAGCCCTCCAAAATGCCGCTTCATCTCTCAACAAGGCCATTTCCACCAGCCTCCCCAGACTCGACCAGTCTCTTCTACCCGTAACCACTACCTCTAACGGCAGTCCAAGTATCGGCGGTCTCCCACGAGGCCAATTAACTGAGATTTATGGTCCCCCCGGCGTCGGAAAGACAGCCTTGGCTATGCAACTCGCCTGCAATGCCCTCCACGCTGGGAACCGAGTCGTATGGATCGACACGGGTGCACCGATCCCAGGGCCGCGCTTCCAGGACATCCTGCAGTCCTACAGCGGCGTTCCCGCCGGGCAAGACCCCGCAAGCTCACCACCAATCTCAAGGTCCTTAGACGACCTCCTCGACAAGTTTACGTATTACAACATCCACACCCTCCCCCACCTTCTGGTCCTGTTCCTCCACCCGACAGCCCTATTCCCGCCCCCAGACACCGCATTGATGATCATCGACAACGTCTCCGCGCCCTTCGCCACCGCGTTTCCCAGATCTACCCCCTCCTCTTTGTTCTCCGATAATGCCAACGTCAAGACGAGCAGCAGTTCTCTCGATATCGCGCGGAAGAACAAGCTCCAATGGGCCGCGAACCGCAAGTGGGTCGTTGCGGGTGACTTGGCGGCGGCGATGAACAAGATGGCCGCGTTGAAGAAGGTGGCGGTGGTGGTGATCAACCAGGTTGCGACGAGTCTGAAAGGGGTCAAGCGGGCGGTGTTGAAGTCGGCTTTGGCCGGGACGGCTTGGGAGGTCGCGGTGGCGAATCGGGTCGTGCTGTGGAGGGATTTTGCCTCTTACAGCGAGGGTGGCGCGGATGCTCTCAGCTCTATTGCGAGAGGTTTACGGTTCGCCGAGGTGGTGAAGGCGGGTGGCAAGGTAAGGCCGGTGGGGGAAGGAGATGCCGTGCCGTTCAGTATTGCCCAGGTAAGAAAGAAGCGACATGAATACTTCTCTCGGGACTAAATATCATACAGGAAGGCCTGCGGGAGCTCAGACGCCCCCTTCCCATCTCACCAACGCTCGAACCAAATCAACAGCTCAAGCCACAGCCACAGCTACAGCCACCACCCACGACCCTCCCAACAACCACAGCATCCAACCCCAATACGACGACCGCGACCATAACCACAAAGCGCAAAGCGGATGAGATCGCCGACAGCGAAGACGAGCTCCTCGTCGGATCAGACGACGACTTCGACCTCCCCCCGGACGACGACGACCTGTTTGATGAAGTGGTTGTGGGGCTGTCGTAGCTGGAAGAAACAATCATGATCACTCTCCCACCACCACCACGACGGAAATAGAGATGAGTGTGTAGACAACTAATACGGAGCAGAAAGGCAGCAGATCAGGTTTGCCATTAGCGACCGAGAATTCAGAGGCAGGTCAAGGCTGAGCTGGGTTCTGATGATGATGATGATGACGATGACGTCTGGCTTCTGGCTTCCAGGATGATCATTGATGTTGGGATTTTCTTTTTGGGACGGAAGTGGTTGTATGCTAAGCTAGGCTGGGCTGGGCTGGGCTAATGGTGGTTGCTTTTAAGAGGACGGAGATGATATATCATGATGACTGCGGTGGTGAAGGAAGGGATAAGCATGGCAGTGGTTCAATGGATGCCCTAGGGTGCAGTTCGTTGGGTTCACGGTCCCGGCCTTGAGAGTGATACAATCTGTCCACCTTTTTGGGCTTCCTGTGTCAAGACTTGCTGCTGGTCACACGACTAAAGCGTTGGTTTTCTGTCTATAAGCAGAGAGAGAGAAAGAGCTATTTTAGAGAATGGGGCAGGACACGTCAGGGTAAGCTTGATCTCTGGATTTGGTGGTAGTGATAGTGGTAGCGGTAGTGTCGAATGAGCCAGATCCGGCAGTTTTCGCCACGTATGAGTGTTAGCCATCCACGCTGTTGTTGTAGTACTACTACGACGGGGAACCCGTCTTGCTGACTCGACTCGGACGGCCAGTTAGGGATCCAGTATGAATACGTGCACTCACACACACACACACACACACGCCCACGTTTATGACCTAGTCTGAATTGCTCTGCTGTATTTGCTTCCCCCCTACTGCCTGCCGCTTTCTACTACACTCCTTTCTCTTCTCCTTCTCCTTCTTGAAAAAAGACGTGGAGCACCCGCTTTCAACGGCTCAGGATAAGTATGGCAAGAGAATGAGAGAATGAGAGAAAGAGAGAGTTTTGTTCAGGGTGTAGCCAACCTCCTGGAAGTCTCGATAATACCAGCCTCTGACCCGGAAGGCCAATTCCCCAGAATCCAGATGGCTCCTCACAAGCTCGAACTCGAACTCGAGATCCATTCGCCTGGAAGCGAAGCTGCTGTTCTCCCCCCCTCGGATGAGATTTAGCTTCTTGAAACCCCATCTCCGACCCGTCCCCGTCCCCGTCCCACGGCTATCGTGAAGCCGCTGTACAGAGTGACGCGAAGCTGGTGGGACAGCGGTGATAATTTCTCTGGGACCGGGGGGGGTGGGGCCGACCTGAACAGGAGGCGTTTCCTCGCTTCACTCTTCACTCGGATCGGACAATTAGTTGCATTGACACTAGATGATCCATATTGCTTCGACGGCCGGGGGTTTTGGTCCGGGTGGTGATGCCTGAGAGGTCAGTAAGTGCACTTGCTGATATATTGCGGGAAAAAGAAATGTGCTTCCAAAGTGTGGGTGGTGCGGACTTGCATACGATACCCCTTTTTCTCTGTATCTGTAACGCTCCATCCGCTTCGATATCTCAAGTCTCATGACGTTTTGTAACAGTTTCTCGGAGAAGCCATAGGGGCAGATGTGGTGTCGAGAAGGCTGGAGAAAGATCCTCACCCACGTCCTCACTCCCTGTTCCCTCCCCCGCTGCTGTGTTTGGAGGAATCAACGTGTTGGTATTCGGACGCTGGCTACATGGAAGCATTTCTGAGAGAAAGGAAATAGGAAAAGAAGACGGGCGACACGAGACGGTTATCGTTCGTCGAAGTGAAGGTGATGGTGATGATCAAAAGAGGTAGGCATTGGATACGTGGTCAGGCCCGCCGAGATTGGCAGGCCTGGAAAGTCCAGCTCTATTGTACATTTAACCAATATATACCAGCGTTGTTGCCACGATCAGTGGCATCCTCAGTGTAGTGGCCTCCAAGAAGCTTTCCACCTTCTTTCTTGTCTAAACTGACGCCTAGAAGCCAGAATAGCTATATGAGTATAAGGATAAAGCTGAATCATGCACGTCCACTTCCTGGCTTTTTGCCTTTGAGGATTATGGGTATCATCCATCTCCTACCTTGGCCGGATCCCTGGCATGGAGGCAGGACCGGGAAATACCGTCTCTGGCCTGCCAGATAGTACGGGTGACGAGTATCTTATGTAGATATCTTATGTAGAGATGGCAGATGGAGGCCGGTGATCACCGTGATGCGACAACCCATCTCTTGCAGCTTCGTAACAAGGCATCATGTGTGAAAAGATTTCGAAGAGGGTGATACTGGTTTCAGCATTGGCATAATGCAATAATAATATTCACAGTGAAAAGGTTTGAAGAAAAGCACCATTTAGATACGTGACCAGAGATGGTTCTTTCGTCTGCACCGCGACAAGAGGCAAGGAGTACCTGTGTAGCTGCTGATTGGCAGTCCTCGAACGAAACATAGACCACTGGTACTAAGAAGAGTCTTCCAGTGTGATAAGGGATAGATCGGTCACGGTCTGTTCTCAGGCATGCTGCAGTCCACGTCTGGAAGCGCTGACAACTTCTCTCATGCATACTCCGTACAAGTTCATGATGTTGCTGGAGGCCTCGAATGAACTTTCTCTGCCAGCCTATCACGGCTTATCGGAATGCTGGCCCGAGCGAAGAGTAAAATCCAATATATTAGGTTCACAGAAGTAGCCCATCAGCTGATCATCCCCACTGTGGACCCAAGTGGAGCAAAGGCAGTTTTGCAGTACCTTTCCGTGGCGGATCTGCTTCACACACCAATGATAGCTGTAGGAGCCTAGCTTCAGGATGCCTCGAAAGAAGGGACGCCCTGAAGACATTGCCTAGGAGGGGACGACGCGGTCAACCGGTTCATTCTGATATACTCACCGCCTTTCCGTAGCGGTATCAACCGATTCGTGCGCACCTGACTCGTTTCGCAGACTTCTCCTTCCTTGCAGACGCCGGAATGCTGGAGGTTAATCCAGTGAAGAAAAAAAAAGTGGAATGCACCATTTCGACAGGACTTAGTGTCAGAGAAAGGTTGATGTGGTCTAGCCTCAACCAATTCAGCATCAATAGCCAAGACCACGGCAATGATATACAATTCGACCCGAATCCGGCAGAGAGTTCCCTTCAACGTACTCAACGTCAATGGTGATGAATGTCGTCAATTCCCGCACAACATCAGATTCTGACGTCGGCCTGAGAGCAGGATCCGAGAAATGTCTGACACCGAAGCATCCGGATCTGGGCTGCAGCAAATATGGAATTATTAGACGGGCAATAAAACAAATTGGCGTCTCGACACAACTCCGCCGCTAAATCAAGGAACCAAAGAGCACGCAACAGGAGAACGGAATGAGGCAATTAGTGCTGGTAGAGCTGTCCGTCAATGTCATCCATGTGCAGTCGGTCAATCCCCCAGAAAGAGAGAGAATAAGAGAGTTCGCAGATATCTCCTTTCGGCTGTGGCGCAAGGTGTTGACTGGCGGTTCAGGTTCTAGACAGAGACACAATGCGAGGAACTCAAAATATGTGGGGTTTTTTCTGAACCAGGCTGTCCTGTCCGTCAGGCTCTAGGAATGGTATATTGATGATCTGCTCGATACGTGCCCAGCTGCTACATACACGCGGAAGGATTTGAAACCTGCTATAAGTTAATTCCACTCAGCTGATCCTGATGGTGCCAGCATATGATGGCCATTCCTGGCCCCCAGTATCCGTGTTCGCTTAGGATTGGATTGACGGTGCAGCTGACATGCGCTGCGAGTAGCCGGAGAGCTGCTGCCAAAGCAAGTTTTGGCGGTGAGTTTAGAGTCCCTTGGAGGCTGCATTGAATATGCGGCTAAATCATCTGCAAGTTTCTCCCGGTTTCTCCATCTCCGATCGTCGATCAACCATCTGCGCTTATCTCTCTGACGTCGGATCATCACCAATGATGCTTCAGTGTCTTGTGGGGGGGGAGGCTGACGAGTTTTCTGGCATCAATGCTAGTGTATTAATAGCTTGCGCAGGCGAGATGTTTTGTGATTTATGCTTCTTGGGGGGCGCATTGATAGTGTATTCGGTCATGCAGATAAGTATCTGCAGCTTGTAAGTTTTTAAATGTCCGGTCGATCCATTGGACTCTCGGCACAAGCCGCACGTGCTCCAGAGCTGGGAAGATGAGTCAAAATGTTTGATCTGCAAAGGAGATCATTAAACTCTGTAACCTTGACGCCTGTTCTGCTGGATTGCGGAAGATGATGAATGTTTCCGCATTTCACAAGATAAGATATGCTCGCAGAGAGACACCTGTCATGAAGCCTCGAGCCCTCGACTCTCGTACGAGGCGTCAAGGGGCATTCTGATGCCTGTGGTTGAGAGTTACAGATGAGACCATCCTGGCCTTTACGTAAATGTAGCCCTTGGACATCATCTGACAGCGATTGCAGTGCTCATGCACAACACACTCGAATCATATCCAAACACACCGTTGTTGTATGGACCAGCATTTCTGATCCATGGGTTTGCGTCGGTACCGACTTCTACCCCACAAAAGCTTGAGCAAGATAGACATTGCCCTGCATTCCGGCACTTGTTCCCCTGCTACTTGCTAACATGGACTGCTTCAAGAGTCGACCATCCATGCTCTTGTCGCTTCACTTCTGGAAGACATCAGGTGGTTGCATCCGAGGGTGAGGAGCATCATGATGCGCGTGGCATTGCAATCTCTCAGCTGGGTATGATGTTCCGAGGGGCCTCTTCCACGATTTCGAAGCTGCCAACATGGATGCGATACGCGGTAGCCGTCGTTCGTGATACAAATTTCTCTTCTAATTGTATGACAGTCCGGTTCCTAGACTAGGACTGGGCTGAACTGAACTGCACAGCACTGCACTGCACTGTACTGTATTGTACCGTACGTCAAGACCTTAAGTAGCGGTAGCTGCAGGTGGAGCAATCCAGGAACGTTGTGTAGAAAATAGTCTTGCAGGAGGTCGGTCAGACCGGCGGTGTGCGAATGCAGCTTGCCGCATCCCCACAACTGCTCCGGGATAGGGTTGCACTGCTAGAGTATTGGGGGAGGACGACAGAGGGATGATGGATCTCTCCGTAATAATAAATGGAGTGACAAAGCATAGACTGTCGGCCTGGGAGGAACTTGGCAAAATATCTGACTGATGCCAGTCATGGAGTAAGTGAGATATCTTGGAGGAGAAAAGGAGAATTGGGGAATTGGACACGCTGGCGAACAAGGATTTATCCTTAGTAGTAGAAATGAACTGAATTGTCTATCTGCTGTCCATGATTTCATGTTTGATCATGGACTGGTATCATCGAGTCAGCCGCAGTAGCCTGCAAGGAGAAATTAGTGGTAGGTGTTCCTCGGAATCCTGATGCATGTATTGTCTGTTGTTGCACAGTAAGCATCCAATCCAATATCGCTGTTCAGGCCCTTCGTCCCGTTTGAGGAAAACTGGTGAGTGGAGGCGCTCAGCCACCTGTCTATAATCATTAAAGTCGTCAGAAATGAGGTGCGAGCCACCCAGACAATGTCTCCCTTGTTACTCCTCAGAAGTTCCTGCTCGGTCCTCCAGGGAGAGCAACCAAGCCAAACCCCACGCTTTGCCCATTGCAACTAGGCCCCCGTAACCTGCATCGAGATAGCACAAGACAAGACTGACAAGTCGTGGAGTCAGCCCAACCAATGTTCAACGTCGCTCCATCATTGCATCTCCGTTCAAGGAGGTGCTAGTGCTCGAACTTCCCGAACTGGTCCCAATTCCGGGATTCAGAATATCCTGTACGGTCAACTTCGGCACCAGTGGAACAGGCAGTTTGCGCTGAGTGCCATCTTGACGACACATGATGTCACTGAGGGTGGGTCCGGAATGCTGGGAATGCTGTACAGGAGCTGTTGGCCCATCCGCAGACGGTTCCATAGGCGCAAGGGCCGGCGTGTGACCTAGCGACAGATTACGAATGCCTGGAAGCTGAAAGTCAGGGTTGGCGTAAGGTCGAAGACGCGGCGAATGGGCAGGAGTGACTATCGGAGTGTGATCGGGAGTGGGAGATAGAGAGTCGTGAGAGAATGTAGGAGACGGCGGTGCGGTCGAGTTGGGAGAGTTGGGACGCGATCTCTTGACCCGATGGCCTTGGTCATCGGCGTTCTCCGCCGACAGCGTCCTCGACATCGAATGGGACATGGCGTAGGCGGATAACGATGGGAGCCGGCCACTACTCTGGAATGATGGTCGGTGGCTGAACTTATGATGCATGTAAGGCTGTCTAGAAGTACCAGACATGGTATGGTCCTCTCCTCGCTCCACCTGGGAAGCTGCTGTAGCGAGCAAATTGATGTCCATTATATTCGTCCGGTCTTCATGTCTACCATAAGGACCCAGAGTGGTCGGGATGTGAGGAGTATAGTTAGGGAAGGAGTTGGGTGGTGAGACATTCGGCGAGCCCGCCTTCGACGTCGGAGCCGACCTTACTCTGCCATGCGCAGGAGGCGCCATCATCTGAGCCTGTGATATTGCATTTGCCCCCTCCAACATACCACCAACAGGAGCGACGGCGGCAACGGCGGCAGCAGCCAGCTGGTGGGCTCGATTGCTGCGCCTCGAGTTCGGGTTGTTGTGTATTCTCAAATGACGAGTCAACTCGTCGGACCGACTGAAGCGCTTGGTACATCCTGGAAACGAGCATGCATGAGGCCTTTCACCAGTGTGCGTTCTGATGTGTCTCGTCTGGTGCTCTAGACGGTGGAACGCTCTGTCGCACAACGGACATCGATATGGACGAGGGAGGTCTTGTCTTTCCTCGTTGCCAGGCTGGTGACCTGTAAACATCGGTGGCAGAAGACTGACGGCCGCAGCCATGTGGGGAGCGCTTTCTGATGATGCTGACTGTGTTGGCTGATCTCGACCTGAGGCTGGAGGATGGCTGGTGGGGGTGTGTTGGTGGTGAGGATCGGACAGCGAAGTAGGGTTTAGCAGATTCGAAAAATCCACTGCGGATGACGACTGGTGCATGTGAGGATGTTGGCGAGGTCTATGAATCGAGGAACGGGATCTGGCGACCTGCGTGTGAGGCGGAGATAGGTAGTGGATGGATTTTGCGGAGAGGAAGGGGGAAAAGGGACCTGAAAACCAACAGGCGAGTAGGAAATGTATTCGTAATCTGGGGCAGGCGAGAGTCACATCGGAGTGGAACAGTTTATGCAGGATGACGGGGGGCCGCGAGCTGAACGTTTCTGTGTAGAAGAAATATGTTGTACCCTACCCAGGATGGCCTGGTGTGGGGTGTTGAGTTGAGCAGATTAGGGATGGGTCCCGGACAGGCATTCCCACACAGCCATCCTTGCTGTACAAATGGCGTGCCTAAGGTAGGCAGGCGCAAGGATGTCGTGATGATCAAGCAGCCAGGGCCCTTCATGCACATGCGCGATGGGCGATGGGCGATGGGGAAGAGGTGGGCTGCCTCCAGCCTTTCCAGGGCCGTGGCCCGGCGAGTGGTCCAAGTGGGGATATTGACTCTGACAGTTTGCGTTAAAATTGGAGCGTAGTAGTGCTCGAGTAATGTAGCATGGCTAAGAGAAATGGTTTCCACGGGAAAGCATCCGGGTCACACTTCCTGCGGCTTCGGCACTCCCTATGACCTAAAAAGGCCGACCACTCGGCCCCGTCAGATCATGTGCCTGTGCAGGCCAGTTGTCCAAGTATTGGGGCACGTGTCGGGGCGAACATGTCAAAGTTTGAAGAGAATCGTAGATCCGAAACATTGATTCATAGTAATTTGCGGTGCACTATTCCCTCGGAAGGCACTCTCCCGGGTCATCCATCGCAGGCTGTGGAGATAGCAAGAGATTACGAGGTTCGATTTGGTAAATATCTCGTTAGCAATCGATCTGCTGCAGGCGGCCGGATTGCTGCTGATATCATTCCTCCCCGTAGAGTGGGCTGCATGGCCGGATTCGGTTGATACTTTTCTCCAGCCTGCTGGCTTGAGGCTGTGATTTGTGGTTGTGTTGGCGCCAAATTCAGGGGACGGATCCACTTGGTTATGTGTGGGGGGAGAGACAAATCATCAGCCAAAGATCCATCATGTGTTTCGTCTCTCCTTAATTCCAGCAAGGAAATGAGTACGGAGTATTCTCACCAAGTCAAGACTCAGGTCTCTGCGTTTAGGGCCACATGGCTAGCTTAGCCCCAAGACAGTGGCTGATAAGGATCTGCCCTTACTACGTACTACTACATAGTATTCTGTGCTGGAAAGACTTGCGTTTGTCCGTACGTAGTAACTAGTCGTGGTAGCAGGTCGTAGGGGTTTGGGACAACTGATATGACCCATGTCGAAACGGCCGGAAAGGTCCCCCGCTTCCTAACCTGATGCAAGGATCGACCTGGAGGCTGTGACGGAGCAGTTAGTGCTGTATTGGAGCCTGCATGGCATGTTATCCCATCCTCCAAGCGATAACGAGGCCAGCCTGATGGGTGATGCGGTTGATACACATGCACATCCACATCCACATACACCAGACAGCGTGCCAAGAACAATCCATCTCCAGTGACAGCGGCACACTTATCTACGGGATACAAAGAAGTATTACCCCAGATATCTAAGTAGTACGTAGTCAGGACTCTAAGGAGCGACAAGCGAGATGAACCAAGGGGCAGCCTTGTTGGTCTGGGGTAGTTCATTCCTCTGGCGTTGCAAATCCGTCTCGGATCTCATCCAGATACCTTCATCTGGAAAACCATGGTTGCTTCCCCGGATGATCTCCACACCTCCCTATCGGCCCTTTTCCCGCATCGACTGGCGGTCTGCAATATGTACGCAAATGCAAACACACTGTATCCCCATACGGGTATGGAGAGGACAATTTAAAGCTTGAACGACAAGGCTCTGAATTCTAATAATGAATTCTAATAAGCCCGCTGCCCAACACCTAACCCAAAATGACAGGGACGGTCAGGAGGAAGCGAGGATAAAGGGTCCGCTTTGTTTGAGGTTTGCCATCGGGATTCCTAATTAGGCAAGCATTCAAGCTTGGAAGCTTGGCCTGCCTACAGGAAGAGCGCAGTTCGTATTGATCCACCACTTATGAAAATGTACGTAGTATGCCATTCATTTATCTCGTTTGTTGTGAGTGCACGTACCCAGGGTCTTTCCCGCCTTTCTCGATCTTGTTCGTTATGTCTGTAAATATCCGAACCTCTCTGCGAGTGGGAGATTAAGCGAAAGCGCGTTGGGAGTGCAGGTACGCAGGGTCGTTCCCGTCTTCCTTGATCTTGTTCTCTGTCTCTGTAGCCATCCGAAGCTCTCTGCGCGTGGGAATGTCAAGCGAAAGAGCTGCTGTGGGTGGGGGTACGCAGGGTCTTTTTCCGCTGCTTCTCCGTCTCGGCCATTATCATGTCTGTAGACTTTCGGAGCTTTGTGCGGGTATGAACGTTGAGCCCAAAGGAGCTTGAATTAACCAACACAACAACATAACGAAATCGAGCGAGACCAGGGGTTCCTCCGGCCGCATCGATATTCGGCAGTTCATCTTTATGCTGCTCTATTATCGACGGACCGATGTATGACGGTGGCTCATGAATAGTTTGCTGCATCTGCTTCTTTCCTGCTTGACAAAACAGCCTTCTCCCAGACGCTGCAGATACAGCTCTTTAAAAGTCACCAAATTTTCAAGCTCTGAAAGATGCCTTATTCGTGAGAGTCAGTATATATGATCTTAATCCTCACCTGTGCTGAAGCACCTCTGCCGAACCACCTTCGCCGTGGGAGTGAGTATATAACATCTTGATCCTCACCTGTGCCGAGCAGCTTCGACTTGTGTCAATCTTTCAGCTGTCACACGAGGGAAGAGTCATGTCGACTGTTCTCTGTACATCTTTTCCAGGTCATGCTTGTCACAGCATGATCACATGCTCGCCTGCCAAACAATGAACAACGAACAACCAACGCCTGCCAAACAATGAACAACGACAACCAACAAAAGTATGTTTCTCGTGTCTGTTGGATGCGAGAAGATGAAGATGTCTCTGCCAGCCAATATCTCGCAGGAAACAGAGAAGTGATAGCAGTCTGCTGTTTGGTGGGAGATGAAGCCCTGGCTACTTTTGCTCCTCAACCTGAGGTTACAAACCTTGATCTACCAATGGGGCAATTGCCCATTCAGATGATGGAGAACCTCCCAGGGTGCAAGCTTGTGTGTTTGACGGAAGCTAAGAGCAAGGAGAATGTCTTCATCTTCAAGCATAGGTGGCATCATAAGAAGAAGTGGAAGTGGTAATCACATTCACTACCAAAGAGGACCACATGCTTTCATAGCCGAAGGGAGCCGCCTCGAGCCGAAGACATGTCCTGAAATATTCACAACAGTGAATACATGACCAAATTAGGTATCGCGCTGTTGATGTTGTCTCCCACAACGTGAATTTTCGGTTTCCATTATTCTCCCAAGCACTTGGAAAGCCTTGTCCCAACATCGCAGCATATCTCCTCAACACCGTTTGCGCTCCGGACTACCGTTAAGGAAATATATTTACATACCACGACAACACCTGCAAGCAATGGCCATGTCAACTCAAGAAATGACAAGCGGTCAAAGTGCGGCAGAGAACCACTCTCTGCCACAGTGGTCAGGAAAGCGGGTAGTCCACCCTCCGGCAACTGCGAAGGTCAGGAGATATCATCTTGCATGTGGCTGTGATCATTAACTCCTTGCAGACGCGTTTCGATGTCATAGAGACAATTCGTTGGTTCAGGCAGCCCCAGAGTGGGCTGTATTGCAAGGACATGATAATCCGTGGCATGCTGCTTGTGAATGATGATTTTGGTGGTCTAGGCCACTTCGATGACCGTGTGCTCATAACCCGCCTTGCTCGTCGGACAAATGAAAGCCGTTCGACACTGCCCGCAGCAATAAAAGCGGCATCCAATACTCTCCAAAAGCAAGCCATGATAGGGATTTTGATTTCTAGAGACTTCCAGAAGCTTCCCGTCACCTTTAGGGACCGTGAGAGGTATGGCGTCAGCGGTTTCTGGCATCTATCACATGTCTTTGCGGTCAGGTCCGAAGGGCCCAAGGAGGGTCAAGTGCACACAGATCTGATGGCCTGCCTTGTATACAGTGGGCCAAGAGAGACAATGTGGTGGAATGTGGCTGAGGATGAGACAGCAACAAATGCTGTCAAGGTCTTGAAAGAAGAAGAAACATTTGACAAAATGTTTGAGAAGGAAGAGTGCTCCCTGTGCAGCGAGGAGAGCCTGACAATTTTTGCCGAGGGTTGGGTTTGTACCAATGTGGTATGTTCGAGTCTGGGACGGGACCAATCTGGTCAAGTACCCAAGACGAAAACATACTCTCAGCGGTTTCTCCAGCCATGGGTGTCACAAGAGCTGATGAAGAAAACGCCTCCACCATTGCTTCCTGATCTTCTTATCCAGCCGCCGCAGCTCACGGATGATAGCAAGAAGAGCTTCGAGACTTTGAGACATTTTTGGAGAGGATGGGTGTGCCCTGCGTGTGCCACGCTCAATCGACGTTTAGACTACCATCAGATGGTCTGTCCTTGCGGCGAGTTTTCCGCTCCAAGCCCTCCTCCAAACCTCACACTGGGCCAAGTGACCCCAAAAGAATATCTTGAGCTGAATGCAAAGAACAAGCTGCCACCAGTCACGATCAAACATAACGCTGCCAAGTTGGCGGAACAGGAATTCACTGACAATTACGCCATTTACACTTGGGAATTTGAAGCAGAAGCAAAAGTGACAGCACTCTACCCTCGAACAGCGGCCCACGCAGGTCCCAATGGCAATGATAAAGTGTTTGAAGAGATGCAGGAGAAAACGCGAAGTGGGGTGATCCCAATGAAGCGTGTGCCCTTTGGGAATTCATCAGGCCTAGATGCCACCACTCGACAGTTCGGCGCAAATTTTGGACGAGACTACAAAGCAAGCATGATCATGTCGACGACCCCTTTCGAACAAGCGGATCCTCTGATCGGTCAACTTGTGCGCAGGGCGGAGGCTGTCGTTCTGGGCACAGTGGGCATGAATGTCAGTTTCAATGAAGCTCTTCTGCTGGCCTATCTTCCCGAGATGTACATTGGCTGGCACGACGATGGCGAGGCAGATCTTGGAGACACGGTTATCTCGCACTCGGTCGGTGGCAACTGCGTGATGAAGTTCGCAATGAAGGGTGACTATTGGTGGGGCAAGAAGGAGCGTGGCGACAAAGGAAAGATGACGTTGGCACCAGATGACCCACACCTACCTGGCTGCGTGAAGAGGCAAGAACGAAGGGCGCTACTGGATAAATACAGAAAGGGCGAATTGACCAAGGAGCAATACGAAACCCAACTGGGGGATGTGGTGAGAGATTTCAAAGTGAGCAGAAGCAATATTTCACCGTTGCTTATGAGTGTGGTTGTACCACATGGAGGGTACATTATCATGCACGGCAAGAACATGCAAAAGTACTACGAGGTGAGTATCAACAAGCTTGCATGACAGTTTCCCCCAAGCATCTAGCTGACCTTCTTACAGCACAGTGCGAACTCGACTGGTCTGATGCGTTTCGTGATGACTATGCGTCATATTGGAGATAAGCATCAAGAGCAGACCTTGACGAGCAGGAGAGCGGCTGCTGAGGCACGAGTTGCTGCCGAGTCAGTACTTGGGAAGCGGAAGGAGCGCAGTGGTTAGTGCTGGGAATAGTTAAAGCTTATGCATGCTTCGCGTCAGACGTAGAATACACTGGCCCAGAGAGCCCGCCCTGGTCCCGTCTTCAAGACCTTCCAATTTGACTGGTGATCGGGAAACTATGATGGCGATTATGTGAATAAGTAGACAACAACTGGCCTTCAGTAGTGACTTCCCTGGGGGCTCTATACCCACATATCACTGAGTATACTCTTTGCCTTCTGTCAATTTTTTTGATACATACATCAAAGCTAAAGGGGTCGCCAAGACCTTCAACCTGAACAGTCTTGGATCTCGTCTGTGAACCTTCTGCAACTTGGGAGGATGGGTTCGAACGCCGACTGGTCTATTGCTGTTCATTTTTTGGCTTTAATTCACTAAGATCAGCAGCGCTCCATCTGCAAAATCAGCTTATCTTCAAACTGCACGGAGGACGCAGACAATGAAAGCTCTCATAAATACCTTTGTTATGGACAGCTGCTTGGTATATGACACGAGGATGGTGAAGGCATGTCGGCAGTGGGCAGTGGGCAGTGCATGAAAAGAATCAACCTCAGGATAAGGGCGTTACATCCTCAAAGCCAAACCTCACACGCTTCATGACCAGTCCATGGATTAGAGTTAAAGAAGAGCAGGTGATATGCTGGTGCTGGTCGATTATGAAAAGGTCATACTTTGTTTTTCCAGTCGAGATATATCAGTTTCATATGCTTAAACCGAGCAGATTAAAGATATAGCCACGCCGTGTGTAGCAATGCATCCTTCTACCTGGCCCTGTTCAAATGCGTCCTCCGCTGCTGCCTAGCCATGAAGCTGAGAGAGCGGTGCCAAGGCCAAACTAGCCTCACTAGCGCCAAAGCCAAATCTTGGCACAAGTACAAATATCTGCCTCCTCCGCCAGAAGTTTGATCCTTTTTCTTTTCTTCTCCATCCCGGTGCACGGGCATTACCAGCAGCAGTGAGGATTCGTCCGAGCTCTGGTTTTTGCTAGTTGAAAACTACAACTATATTGACTGCTTCAGTTGGATTTCGATTCGGCTGGGAATTTTTGATACCCTTGTGCTCTTTGAGCTCATCTTTTCATTACTGTCTTCGCCCTGGTGGCAAGCTGTAGAGAAGAGAAAACCAACACGGCCACTATGTTTTGGGAGATGGCCATCCTATATAGATCAACATTGATGTGAAAATGTTAGCCAGTCAGATCCATGTGCTTCTCCCAGAATGCCTTATGAGGCATGGTGTAGCGTTGGTCGTTCGGGACTCGTAGCTTCTGGAAATTGATCGTCCATTATACATGAACCGAGGGACCTTGCCAGGTTATGTGCCAGATTGTCTCTCAGAGCGTGATCTTGCCTCTGTCAATCATTGCTTATCTATCTCGACATCTCTATCCATTTTCTAATAGGTTCATTTTGATCATTTTGATATTCAGTGTCGACTTCAACAATGGGTTGGTTCTGGGCCGAACAACCCCGAACTGCAAAGACTGTCGTTGCGCCACATCCCATACCGAGCACAACTGCAACACCTCCAGCATGTGCTTCACAGTCCATTCAGAATACATGTATGCTGACTGCCGCTCAAGCCAGAATGTCCTATGCACACATTCGCTTCTCCGCCATCCAGCTTCCCTCCCCTTCCAGAGTCGTCAGCGAGTCAAACGCAACCCTCCTCTTGCCCGGCGAAGTCGCCCAACCAACCCCTTCCATCACATAAAGATGACACCTCATCTACCCTCTCCAAGCTGAACCCTCTCAACTACATGCCATCCAACATCTCAAACAATCCAGAACACTCCGAACAGACCATCTCCCTCCCTCTATCCCGCGACACTTCCTCCATTCCTCGAGGCGATGGCTCGAACACGAAGTGGGAATACCCCTCCCCACAACAAATGTACAATGCCATGCTCCGCAAGGGCTACACCGATACTCCCGTCGATGCTGTCGAGTCCATGGTTGCCGTGCACAATTTCCTGAACGAAGGCGCATGGGAAGAGATCGTGACATGGGAGGAGATCTTCCAGGGAGGCTTGAAAGAGGCATGGAGGAAATGCTCCCTGGGTGAGGAGGGAATGAGGATGGAGAGGTTGAGGCAGGAAGTACAGAGGATACGAAGAGAGGAGTTGGGTCTAGAAGCAGCAAATCAGGAGGATCCATACAAGCCGGAACTCGTCAGATTTCAGGGGCGGCCGCGGGATATGACGCCAAAAGCTGGTATATTACAAGCGTTGGGTTATGTCTGGCCGACGAAATTTGGGTACGTTCTTTCTGTCTAGTTCGACGTAAAAGGAAATACTCTACTAATGTTGCTCTCTGTCCAGCTCCGAGCCCCCCTTCGACCGCCACGATTGGTACGTCACACGCCGGACACCAAGCGGCACGACTAGGGAGGTTCGCTACATCATTGACTATTACTCGGCTGATCCAGAGCCGACGGGCGAACCCGTCTTCTATCTGGACATCAGACCTGCCATCGACACGCCTTCCGCCGCTGTGGAGAGAATGATGCGATGGGGTGGTGACGTTTGGCACAGGGCTAGTGGAGCAGTGATAAGGGAGCAGCAGAAGGGCAACGGGGCGTCTAGTTGAAACTGTTTTGGGTAGTATGATGATAGCTACGGCTTCTTTGACCATTTGAGAAATGTCTTCCAGGCGGGCACAGGCGTCTCGGATCAACTCTGGGGTGAGGAGGAGCAGGGTCATTCGCATCATTCGGGCTCGACCGACGGACGTATTGATACTGGCTCGATTTCGGTACGGTTTTATGCACTAGATGTAACTTTGTACAGCTCATCCTCTCACAACATTCATACACATCAACGTCTACTATGTTTGGCGATGGTCAGCGCGCAGCTTTCTGCAAGTCTACAATGGCGAGCTGTTGACCGAGCAATCGTCCTTGGTATCTCCAAGACGGTCATTTTACTCTTCCTTTCGAGTCTGCCAGCCTACCATCCTTCCGCCTCCACAATTCTCCACGTACCCACGAAGCCTTCCTTCTCCGTCGAATCTCCCACCCTCCTCTTCCCCTCGCACACCCAGAGACAAGGCATCCATATTCCCTGGGCCTTGTCTTCCTGGTAAGTACTCCTCTCATCACGCGTCCATTTGCCCACCTCCCCATCCTCACCCTCTGCCCGCCTTCTCTTTCCCTCTTCTTCCAGCACCTCCCCAGTACCAATACCAGATAGAATTGAATCTGTTTTTGAATTGAATCTCCATCTCTCAACCCTCACCGAACCGGCCTGTGCCGTGCTTGGGTGGCAGACGCCGGACTCGACATCGGAGGAGGTGGAAGGAGGCACCTCGATGATGCCCTGGCAATAATTCCCGATGCGTACTATCATGCCTTTGACCTCGGATCCAGACGCAGATCCAGATCCCGATTCGGTAGCGAGGTGCGGTGGCTGAGGGCGGCGGTGGAGCAACGCTACTATAGCTTTCACTTTCACTTCCGATCCGGTCGATTGATGCTGCGTTGGCGGTGATTCGTCTCGGGTTAGCCGCTGCTCTCCATCACTCGCACGGTCTCGCTGCTCGACGTCGTTGGCGGGTGGTGAAGTCCATAATTCCTGATAAGATTGCAGAATTCTAGTGTCCGGGTTGATCATCTGGCCTGTTTCGAGACAGTCGCCGTTGTGGAGGAGATAGGTTGTCCCGTCGTCCGGGGTGGTGATGTCGCCGCGCGAGTCGAGGAAGCGGGTCCATGTTGTGTGAGTGCTGCATGGGAAAGAGATGGGGTGGGTCTCGCGTGTTGGAGGAGGGGTGGGGTGGTGCGGCGGTGAGATGGGGTTGCGTGGAGGGAAAGTGGATTTGCTGGTGCCGGCGAATGCCCAGTAATGAGGTGGGCTGGTGGCAGTCGGGCCCGTGAGAGAGAAGCGGATGTCGACGTAGTAGGATTTGGCGGAGGTCAGGACGAGGGTTGAGGTTGGTTCGCTGGGTGGGTTGGTGCCCTGAAGGGATGAAAGGGAGCGTGAGAGGGATTTCTTCGCATGCATAAATAGACGCGATAGCTGGGATGATCTATGCGGCTGTGGGAGAAGAGAAACAGTGGTCCGGATGAGAGAAAGAAGCAATCAGGACAAGATGTGATCGCAAGGCAGTACTATACTGAGCCATCTCAAATAGACAACATCCACACTCATCCCGACCAATACAGCAGTAGCAACAGTAGCAACAGCCGCCCACGAGATAAACCAGAACCCAGCGACCGCCATGCGAAAAGACAAGCATACGACAAGAAGGATCCCAACCTCGCCCTTCCCCTTCCTACCCACAACCCCCTTGCTCTCAACACCAAGAAACCTTTCCAGCCCCCCATCACTCCCAGAAGCGAGAAAAAGAGCACAAAGAAAACCCGCCTCAACCCAGCGCCCCTCACGAAATTAAAAAAAATAAAACAATTCATCGACCTACCCATGCAATCCCCTTCCTCACCGAAACACTCGGCTTGGCCACCAGGATCCCCTTCCACTCTGGTTCTGGCGCCTGCTCCCGCTCCTGCTTGGCTTCCGTACCGATGCGGCCCAGCGATTCTCCCGTGACGCCGAAGATTTGCATGGTGGGAGCGAGAGAGGGAATAAGGAGAGAGTTGAGGAGTTGGTGGGTTGAGATGGGGCGGGGAGATGTCGTTGGTGGTGTTGGGAAGGCACTTGGAGCGGCGGGTGGATGGGTATGATTGTGCTGGATGATAAGTATGATGGGGATTTTTCTGGTGGGTAAATGAACGATTCGGGGTTGTGGGCTGTGGATGGATGGATGGAATGATTGGTTAATGTCGAGATGGAAGGGGATTGGTCCGTTGATCTAGTTCACGTTGAGAATCATACTACTACGTACGTACGGAGTAAATGTTTTTATTTGGGGGTTAGAACATGCTAGTTAGAGGAGTAAAGGTATTCAATCTCCACTCCACTCCACTCCACTCCAGCCGCCTCCATGTGGTTTAATTCCACTACATCTGGAAAACAGCGCGTCACTAACTGGTTAGTAACGATGAGATGTATATCTCCATTCTCGACTCCCTTTATCAAAACAGCTAATCCCTCAACCTCAACAGCATCAATTCCATTCCGGTAGGAAGCAACATCCTCTTTAATTCATTTTTAGGTTGTTTTTATCCCTTGTCCTTGTCGCAGAGAAGCCACATCTTCCTCTTTATACTCTCAATCACGAAGCTACGTAGTATCATGTCGATATCAACCGCTTTCCCCCCGTTAAAAAAATGCCTATTCCTTGGGCCATTCTCACTTCATAGACCAATCGACCACAGAAAAACCCTCGGAAAACAACCCTCCACTCTACAGATCCTGTCGTTTCAAAGAGTAATTCATGAAACGGGATTTAGTTATCCGGCTGCAGAATCTGAACAGCGCCTCTAGCTGACCCGACCCTACCCTATCCTCGCACAGTACAGTTGCGATCATGTATGCGCACCTTGCAGGCAGCAGGGCCGGGTTCTCCCTCCCCCCCTCTCCGGCTTCTAATGCTCGGTACATACAATCGTGTTAACTATCCTTCCGTCTGCGAGCCAGTGGACGGGCTGGCTGGCTGGCTGGCTGACGATGTCATTAATGTGGATGTGCAGGGTGACTGGGGTGTCGTTCCTGTCTTGATGTGCACTTTTGGCAGAAGCTGTCGGGTATCAAGCGTCAAGGGTCAAGTGCATGGAGGTTCAACAACGGAAGGGAGTGCAAGTGGGTACGAGGAGTGAAAATGGATGGCCTGTGAAAGTGTAAAGAAAGGGCTTTTTAGGGGGGCCGTGCCGTGATAGAGTGTTTACTGAGTCGCTAGTTGCTAGTTTGCAGGAGGATCTTTTTTGCTGGTGAGTTCCGTCATGGCATCGGATGTTGTTGGAATTCCACTGCCTTTTCGTTGGGATGGATATCCACTGAGTTACGGGCGAGGATGCCCTTAGTGGTGCTTGGGAAAGCGTGCAAAAGGATGAAAAAGACTTTCTCGGGATATGGCAATAGCAGTACACTCTATCTATTAGCTATGAGGATACACTAAATCTGTACAGACAGAGAATAGGTAAAACGCTGTTGGCTGCAAGATTTCAAACAATCGTTAGAAACACAGTACAGTGACCGACGCAGTAAATTCTTGACTTATAATTTGCTATCTCTTGAAGTTTTTGTCCAAAGGGGGACTGCGTGGTCTTGTTTCAAGAACGACGTAAAGCATCCACAGGCTCCAGAGTGCCGACAATAGAATTCCTTCCGCCTGGCTGAGCGATCTCAGCCGAGTTCACGTAATCCCTTTCCTTTTTAAGGGAGTCTGCCTCCAGAGAGCCGCCGACAGAGCTATCATCGTCGTTGACTTCCTTGTCCAGGGCTTCACCATAGAGCGCCTGAGGATTGAAAGCGAAAGATCCACGAGGGATAAAAGAAGATGCAAAGATCACGACGGCAATGATCGTGAACTGTACTCCGGCGACATTTCGGATAGCAGGTCTAACGGTTCCACCATTCGAAGAACCACCAGTTCTGGTAAACACCCCGTCGATATATCTGCCGAGGAGCGGCTGGGTGATGGCGTAGGTGACAATGTATGTCGAGTAGAGGAAGGCCATGACGGCCCCCAGAGCCGACACATCCTTATGCTCAGATTCCTTCCGTGCAAGCGAAGCTTGAATATATGCAGCTAGTGACACGTCGCCGGCAGCCCAGCCAAAAGAGACGGGAAGGAAGGTGGCGGCAACAATCCAGGCTTGACGCACCTGATTCCTTGGTGGTGTCCAATATGGTAGGTACCAGACAATCAAGAGCATGAGGGCATCCAAACGAAGCCATGGCATGGGAGTCGTAACGAGATTGGTGAAGAGGAAGACGAAAGCGGCGCCGAGCAGCTCGCCAAAATTAGAGCCTCCAACCATGATTTGGGACCAGGCTGAATTTCCCAAGTACCGTCTGGCAATTACCGGCCCGATGCCGTTCTCGAGATAGCGATGAGCGTACAAAGCGACAGAATACCCAGGAACCAGCCAGATAAACTTGCGGCTGGTGAAAATGATTTTAGCACCCGTATAGACGGATCGGTAGAAAAGAACGAAGCCCATCAGCACGCTCTTCAGATACGAAGGTTTGTCCGCCGCAGCAAGGCCTGAGTTGGGATGTCGGAAATTGAGATTTGACACGAAATACCAGGTGATTGCGGCCAAAGTGAAGCAGATGGGGGTGATGATGAAAGAGAAGTTGTTTCCGAGGGCTGGGATCAATCCCAAAGCCGTGCAGAAGGCTCCTGACGTGCCAGCAACTTCGTAGAATATGTGGACCAAGGCGTCCATTCGTCGCAGCTTTTGAACGTTGCCACCAACAATGTCTCGTGGAATGACTCTGCGGATCAGTTCCACCATGCCGTATGCAATGCCAGTGAAACAAAAGATTGGGATGATGCCGTCGGTGTTGTAACTTCCATAGTAAGAGAAGTCATCTGCCTCTGCGCCAGCCGGCTTAAGTCGTCCTCCCGTAGCTCCATCCACAATCATCAGAACAGCGGTCAGGATTCCGAAACAGAATACGGCGACAGCGAGAACGAGTTTGGTAGGAAATCGCTTGATAAGAGGGGCGATCAAGATGGAACCAACGCATTGGAAGGCTTGGTTCAGACCTTGGAGTAGACCAAGTCGTTCGAAGGTGTTTGCAGGGACACCTGCGATGCTGGCATCATTGTCATAGCGATTGGTCGCTAGAGCTGTGATGGAGCCATTGAAGGCCTCCAAACCGAACTTATACAGCATTATCCCGACAATATAAATGGCGATATTCTTCTTTTCCTCCCTGGTGAACATCGCGAAGGCGTTCAACACAGACAACTTTCTTCCAGGCATGTTGGGCCAGAGATAGACAGCAAAACAGAAGACTAGAAGGGATAGACCAGCAAGATTATGGTAGGAGGAAAGAGAATATCTAGGGATGGGATGAAAGGATGGTTTATGAAATATATGCGATTGGCTCGGGGCACCAACTCTACATGGAATACCATAAGCTCGCCGACTGGGAGGATCGGGTTTCGGGGCAGGGATTCCAAATGTTGATGGTGGATTGAGGTGTGTGTGGCCAACCAAGTGAAAGACTCGGATATGCCCACGTTCTCAGGTCGAGAAGACCAAAAATGCCGCTATCATTATGACGGCCAAGATGATATCGAGCTTGTGGCGGACAAGCAGTTAAAAAGCAATTTGGCGAGCTGCGGCAACTTCCATTTGCCTGGTCTTAGAAGATGACGGGACTTTCAGCCTTTCTCAGCCTTTCTGAGCCAGATCTGGGTTGATATCTTGGCGCCAAGGGCGGAGAGAGACCCAATCATAGGCTGCCAATCAAGCACGAGGAGAGGTGACAAATGACGATTCGGAGGAATAGGTTTTGTTGGTCTACACAGTACCATGGGTCGAATGCCATCAGCTGCAATCGAGCCACCAATAGGGTACCTTCTGATAACACCGAGCACGAACCGAAGTGGCAAGGGATCTCACGGTCTTCCTCGGACGGTTTGCACAGATGGGAAACAGATGGCAACAGATGACGCCACTTACTACAATCTTTGACAGAGAGGCGAATGGCTGGGGAACGCTCTGACAGCCTGCAACAAGGATAATATGGCGTCGCATGGTAGCATGCATGGCTCGATAAGTGCTCGATCTCCCTCATGGCAGATTACAGCCAGTCCCTTGGGACAGGAGTCAGCCAGAACTAACTAACTTAAAGCTCGCATTAGTGGCAGGCCTCCGAACCACGAAGAGTGTCAAAATTCATCTCCCACCTTTCCACCCGTACCAGCCTCCGAGCTATACTCAAGTTGTACTTCAAATCTTTTGCTCCATTCACCGCACTTACCCTCAACATTACAAGTTACCTTTTCCTTTGCGGGCAGGGGCATATTCGGTAGGATATTTTTGTTCTATTCTTTACCCTTGCATCCTCATCTCCCAGTGCATCTTTTTGATTCGACATCGCCCTACACCCTTAACAAGTAAAAAATACTCGGCTCCACGCTTGTCGGTTGAGAAAACTCGGATACGCAACAGCTGTACGCAGGCCATCTGAGGAGGACTTATGCATAACCAGGTAGATGTACCGCCCAGCATACTCGCGCGCCTTCCATTCCATCGTTTCTCTGTTCTCGTCTCCAACAGCCATGTTCCTGAACCACACATCTTCAGCGGCAGCGCCTGAATTCATTCGCAATTTGGATCCGGAAATATAGACATTCGGGCTTGTTTACAGCATTGGGACGAGACTCCTCGTGAGATCCAGCCCCAACCAGGACTTGAACCCCGTGGGGCCATCTATTGGCAAGCCAGCTAATCCTGATCCTTCTTGCTAATATGTTGGGTAGAGTACTCTATGGCCAGGGTGCTGCAATATCGAGGTAAGGTCTCAACCTGATATAGGTGTGTTTGAGGGAGGTTTTCCGGATCAGTAGAATGGATCACCAAATATCCGTCCGAATCCAGGAACCATCATAATACCCCTGTTCGATGATGGGCGTGCGTGAAGATGTTTATTTTAACCGTATCGACAATGCTACCAACGCCGCAGTGCAATCTGAGTGCACACGGTACTACTCTGTGGCCTTTTGCTGGCACAGGTACTTCCTACAGACCGCCCGTCTTCAACATTGGAAACGAACAAGCTGAGGCGAAGGACGTCAAGTACATTGTGATGCTACCTTAGCCATCTGCTGGATTGGTAAAATGAGTGGGCTGTTACTCTCAGACTTCTTTTGTAAATGACTGGTAGGTTTATTGGTACTACCTTTTGTTAAAACGGTAGTGAAGATGATAGATCAAGGGATATGCCTAGACTTAGAAAGCAGGGCACATACTTAGTCTCAGCTTCCGCGTTAAAGGCGCAGAAGTCATACGGAAAGGAACACGGAGACAATTGCTGCATGATCGATCGATAAGACGAGATGCATAAGGATGAATAGCAAATGGGATTGAGGTCGTAGCTCCGGCTGACCTCATCATAAATACGATGCCTGCAGATTATAGCTTGCAAGCTCCTTGTTGGGAGATTAAGTGGATAGCAACGTGCAGGTTGGTGCTTTAGGTTGACTAGTTACGGAATAAAGTATTAACTAAGTTTTCAGCCTCCGGCTTAGTAACTCACTGGAAAGGGATCCAGGACGGAGTACTGGTTATAACTAGAGCAGAATTAAGTTTTGTTACACTGTAATATTTACAATCATGAATCTTTCCTCCATATATACCGAGCACAAGTCGCAAAGAAGTAGGGCCATACTCATGGTCGCTATGATGTTTTCTTATGAAACATTTCTCCTTCAACAGTCCACCTGCAAGGTCAAGAGGATCGGCGACAAGATCATGATCTGCTCTTGGCCAGCTCACTCTGTGCGGTGCTGGTTGGTCCGCCCTTGACTCGTTCTCCTCCTGTCAGCTTTTTCTCTCCCTCTGTGATGTCGTGCAAAGCCTCTGACGTGATGGCTTCTCCACTATGTTGCTGAGCACGAGCTGTAGGTCCTCCACGAGCTGGTTGGTCGTCACCGGTAATCTTCTTTTCCGCATCGGTGACCTTGGAGATGGTGGATGAGTCGAGGATGCCAGAGTGATTCTCCTGTTGGTTGCCAGGAGTATTGGACGTCGTTTGTGCGTTCCCAGACTAAATCAACATGTCAGCTGGACATGTCGTGGAGACCAGCGATGTAAGAACACATACCCTGGTGAGGATGCTTTGGGCAGTGCTGGTAGGACCGGACCGCGTTGGATTTGGATTGCCAGTAATCTTCTCTTCGCCCTTGGTAATATCACGGATGACTTCAGAGTTGAGGGGTTGATTTGCATGTTTCTGAGCCTGAGCTGTGGGACCTCCCTTGACAGGGTGGTCTTGACCAGTGATCTTCTTCTCTTCTTCGGTCATCTTAGACATCAGGTTGGAGTCCACCTTGGACGCCATTGTGCGATAGAGAGGAGAGCCAGAGCTAGATACGTGAGAATATGAAAGTTGTAGTCTTGATGATCGAGAAACTGGTCGAGCTGAATTGAAGAGAGGGGATGGCAAGAATCGAGAAATCGAGGTTGGTCTGGTCGGCATGGCTACTCGAGTGGTGAAAATGAAGCTTGGGAAGGTGCGTACCAGGGGGGAAGAATGAGCGACTTTACAAGGAGGAAGCAGCACAGGAGCCACTGAAGTATCAATTCAACCTCCTTGTGATTAGGTAACTAATTACTGAAATAAAATTTATTTCTAGGTCAACGACGTCATCACGCTTCGCCTGTGCACCAGGGTTAATCTTCTTTTGCTTATTGCAATAACTATCCTCGATTCGTCTTCGAATTGGAATGCGATCGAGGGCTGCCCGCTGGCGTCGCTTTGTCTAAGTTGGCCTCATCTTCGACTCAGTCGTCCGGCCTTTGGTGATGAGAGACTGGGATCGTCTTGAAGGCTAGCGCTTGTCATTCGGCCCTCCGGCCCAGCGGAAGCAGGGTCCGTCAGATTTTCTTCACTTACATCTGCGCTCTAATATACCGAATTGTAAGAATATATGACCGCTGTCATTTGATCGCTCGCTAAGAAGGTGTAACAAAGAACGGCAAAGTCAAACAGCCACCAAAAGGGCGTCAAGATACTATAAATTCATACTCTCCGACCACAAAGTTGAGTAACGAAGTGTTCATCCCTGTCTGGACTCTCCTCTACGCAGTACGAACTCATCAAAAACGTTTCTTCTCATAGCATCAATTGACCACAATCCAGAGAAGACAGCAGAGAGGCAGTGTGTAGAACGTACGACTGAGGCTTAACAAGGGATGGCCTGTCGCACTCATGCCCCGGATCATCTGCAGGTACCGACATGAACGATGCAGGGTGAATCACAGTGCCTGGTGGCTGTGTCTCCATATTACTCTTAGCGAGTACCTTGTACCATTCTGCTCAATGATCACGGTACATGGAAGTCGAGGACTCACATATGATCAGTTGAGGAGCAACTTTGCACATCTCTCTTATTCCTTGTTCGTGAAATGATTTTGCAGATGTGATCTCTGAAGCTTGAAGTCCCACTCCCTTGTACCGCTTGCCGTTGCGTCCAAAGAGAACATTATCTGGTCCTCAGAATCTACTCTTGAGAAATTAAATTGACATCACCAGGGGATCAAACCATCCACAAGTCGAACTGTCGCTATATTGGAATCATGACGAGCGTTCATGAAACGGACTCAGTACCGCCCATCCTGGCTGCAGCCATCCGTGGACAACCTTGATGTCACACTTGCTCGAAGCCTAAACCTCCATTCCCCAACTACGGGAATTCGAGGCAAGCACCCCAGAAAGGATTGGGACCCATGGCTATGAATTTCTCTCAGGACAAGCGAGGGAAAACCCAGCAATTCAGTAGAAATCGGATTGTATAAAAGTCGTTTTTCTACACGCCGCAGTCACCGTCCCTATGCCATCAACTATGGTTGCCTTCCTTCTCACCATCGTTGGTCCACAAACATTTACAAGCGTGTCAGGATCTTGCAACCCAGACAGCGTCTTCAGGTATAGCAGGCACTACGATCCATCGGCCATATCAGGCCTGTTCCAGGTTACTTTGTGCATTGGCTCGACGTCTTTTTCCGGTGCTAAGTTGATGGATGTGACATGGGATGTGGCTGTTGGACGGAGAGGTAACTCCTGTCTTGACTCTGATGCCGGCCTCTGCCAATCTTGCTGCTTTTTCTCTTCCTCTCTTGACGGGTAGGCCATAAGAGCAAAGAGGGAGCATAAAGCCGGCAGGACTCCACGGTTGTAGGATACTGGCTAGCCCTCCATATCTATGCCCTTCAGTATACCCTAGCTTGCTTTAACCATCTGATTGAGGGTAAGGGGAAAGGAAAAGGGACAGCGCGGATCAAGCAGGAACAGGAGTAAAATCCATAGAGAGCTTCTGGGCCAAGATCCTTTGTACTGCCTGCAGACCTTCGCCATATTTACCTCCAACTTCTGCGTTCTTCTCCCATGCAATACCATCCCTCCCCTGCGCTATCATCACAACACCTTCCCCTGCAACACCCGCCACCCGGCCCACCACCACCGCCCCTACTCGAAAAGATGCCCATAATCCCAAACACGACATAACCCATAATCCCAAACCCGACATAAAACAAGCCCAATGGATACGCCACCAAGCCCCTCATGCCCCTCATCCTGCCCACAGAAACAAACATACCACTGCTGCTGAACGTGCACCAACCCACCGCCATCGACGTGAGTACATAGCCAAACAGGGTATCCATGGAAAACAGAATGCCAAACAACGCCGTCAGCACCAGCGGCAGGAAACAATAGCCCAACACGCTCGCGCTGCGGGAGTAGGTGAGCGTGCTGGAGAAATGTCCTCCGCCCACGCCTGCCATAGCCCCGCCGCCGCCGCCGCCGACACCCGGATTCTGTCCGACACCAGGCTGGGAATGATGGTGATGGTCGCGGTCTCCTTCACTCGGCGTCATCAGACTGAAGATCAGATGCAGCGCCAACGACCCGAACAGCGCGATGCCGTAGATGTAGCCGTAGAAGAACTTGCCGCTGAGCGCGAGGAAGGTGCCGTAGAGGATGAGGAAGAGGAGCGCGCCGTAGAGGTCCGAATCATCCATGATGTGTGGTGACGGGGTTGTGAGCGGGTTGAGGACGGTGAGCGTCTAAATCCATCCCACCCACAACGTCCAAAAATCAGCTTCAGGAGCCACAGATGACAAAGGGGGCAAAAAAATTGCGGGAATTGATAAGGGTTGTTGCTGTTGGCTGACAGACCTTCGTCCTGATGTGCCCGAAATTCACCCCCAATTCCTCCAGCAGCGGTGGCTCGCCGTCATACCCTTCTGT